TCCCTGCTTCCCCTCCCCCCTCCTCCCCGCCCCATCACATGTCACCTGAGTTAGATCAGCCTTTCTCCTCTTTCCGCACCAGACCCGCCTCCCAGACCAGTGCCTCCAGCACTGGGACAGGGTGTGGCAGGGAGCGGACGTAACCGCCAGGTGCATTGCAAGACCTCCCGTGATGACGGAAACAGCCCTATACTGGCCGTGTTCTTTTTCTGAGTGTGTTTCATGTGATTTCTATCTTAACTGAGCCCTTATCACACACTTGGCCTTGACTTCTGCAGTCTGAAGTAAACAGCAAACTCACACAAATAACTATTTTTTTCACAATGTCACAGGCTTGTTCTTACAAGTCTTGATCTCAGCAATTAGTGTTCAATGCCTCTCTTAGCAACAGCGTTCACCTTTTCACTTACAGCACGCACTGTAAAGCTTCCTCTTTGGCATATCCAAAATGCAGAGTTCACTCTGCTACACTTGTGTTTGGGGCTATTATTAAGTAAAACAACAGTTACTACACACAACCATGGTGACACCACATCCGATAACCATAACCAAGACACCCAAACCGTGTGACTGTGGGACAGCCTGTCCTGTGAAGATGATTCAATGGCCTGGGTGGGCAGAAGCAGGAATTTACCACTTGATATTTGCGGACTGTAGTTGACAGTTGCATTAGTCACTTGTTCTGTTGCTGACACCCCGACAACAGCAACATTGAAGGAAGAGACTGCCACTTTGGTTCAGAGTTGGAGGTTACAGTCCCTTGTATCAGGCAAGTCAAGCGCAGGAGCCTGAAGCAAATGGTCACCTCACAGCCACAGTCAAGAGTCAGGGTGATGGACCCCTGTGCTCGGGTCAGTTTCTCCTTTTTAAAACAGTCCAGGATCCCAGCTCAGGGAATGGTGCTGCTCACAGTGGACAGAGCTCCCCACCTCCATTAACTAAGTCAAAATATAATGCACCACAGGCAAGCCCAGAGGTCCCTGGGTAATGGTAGGTCTTCCCAGGGCGACAGTTGAAACTGCTCTTCATAAAGACCAGTACCAGAAATCGAGGGAAGTGAAAATGGGGACAGCGGTGTGCTGTTGCATAGTGAAAAACAGGCACTCCGGAAGCAGAACTGGGTTTGAGCCCTGGCCCTGGCATGCTGTGACCTGGAGCAAGGGCACACTCGGTTCCCGAGCCTCCGTGCTGTAAATGGGGCAGTGAAACCTAACTCTGCAGCTCCGGGGAGCTGCCTGGGAAATGCTTAGCCCTAGTGTCCTGAGTCAGTGTCACAGATGCTGCAGAGTTCCGCCCCCAGGCAATTTGGTCTTCTCTCCACCCTTCCTCTGTGGCCACCTGCACAGACAACCTCAGGGCACACTCCTGCTGGACAGAACAGGGTGTAGTCCTGACCTCCAGGCTTCTTGCCAGGTCTTGGGGGAAGCCAGGAAGTTGGAGCTGTGTTGGGCATCCTGCCATTGTGGACTTCAGGCAAAGCCTTGTCTCAGCCTTAGCTACCAGGGTTCCCCTCCCATCCTGCCCTGGTACCCTTGGGTTGTCATTCTAGAAGGCCAGGGCAAACAAGGACTCCTTTTTTCAGTGTTAGGGACTGAACCCAAGGGTCTTGTGCATGTTAGGCAAGCTCTCTCTCTAGTCCTAGAAGACCTCTTGGGACTGGGGATATGGCTCCATTGGTAGAAGGCACAAAGTACGAGGTTCAACCCTCCAGCACCACGGTGGCTCATATCTGTAATCCGAGCACTCAGGAGCTGGAGGCAGGGGGTTCAGAAATTCAGTCATCTTCAGCTACATAGTGATTTGGGGGCCAGCCTGGGCTACATGGGAACAAACTTAAATGAAACAAACAGTAACAACAAAACAAAGCAAGGACTCTTCTTGCTTCTTTTCTTCCCCCAGGAGGCACCACGAGCCTCTTTCTTCCCTGCTGAGCCATCTTGCCAGTCCGCTTCTTCCTTTGTTGAGTAACTAGACCTTCCGTGAAGTTTAAGCCCAGGTAAAGAAGACACTGGAGGAGCCGAGCCAGAAGGCCCAGGGCCAGATGACCAAGGGGGAAGAGCTAGGGGCAGAGTAGAGTGGTGGACTGTTTAAAAATTCTGGAAGTTTAATCCTAGCACTCGGGAGGCAAGAGGCAGGTGATCTCTGTGTTCTAGTCTATAGAAGAATCCTAGGACAGACAAGGCTACACAGAGAAATCCAGACTTTGGGGGGGGGGGGGGGAGGATTCTGGAAGTTCACTATTTTGAATTAGCTTTTGCATTAGGCCTTAATATGCTAGATTAAAAACTAAAACTGCTCAAGTTGCAACCAACAAACTGAAACTAAGTTATTATTTAGTGGAAATCAAGGGAGGAAGAAAGAGCAGCCCAGGTTCCCAAACAGGCAACTGTAACTGGCATGCCAACGGGGTTGCGTGGCTTTAAATCCTCTAATCCTTACCAAAAGGTAACCTGAAGTAACCTGACGTGTTCCTCCGCCTGGCAGGCACCACATGCCAGTAATCCCAGCACTCTGGAGGGTAACAAGGATTGCTAGTCCTGGGCTACGGAGAGAGCTGGTGTCATGGCCCCCGCCCCCAGCCTCACCCCTTACTCCCCCAACACATAAACTTTGAAATGAGCAGCTCCTTGGGTTTTAATAACCCATCTCAAGGTCTTCAAGTTCACCCTTCTGCTTTTGTCGGCCATTTCCCAGAACTCCAAACTCTGCCACTGAGTTAAACACTTCCTCTACTTTATATAATCAAGTGTGGCCCTTTTCTAGAAACATTGCGTCTTATACCTGCAATCACAGCACTGGGGGTAGGCAGGATTGTTATGGGTTTGAATCTGAGGCCAACCTAGGCTACACAGTAAGTAAATTCCGGGTCAGCCTGGGCTCCATATTGAGAACCTGTCTCAAAACACCAAAACAAAGTGTAAGCGGAGGGAGACATCTGCAGGTCTCTTTCCTGTCAACACAGGTTTTAACGGCCAACCTAGGAGGCGGGGCTTAATGAGACCACCCAGAGGGGCTTCTACCCAGGCGAAGAGAAAAGCCCAGCAGCTGAGCCTGAGGACAAGGACACCGCTCATCCCAGGAACCCCTGAAAACCGTACTTGCCTCTGCTAAGCACTAGTCGAGGCGGACACCTCTACAGGTGGAACCCTGTATTAACACCCCCCCAGAGTGCTCCTGCATTCATTTGGGGCAAGCTGAGCGTGGGGAGGCATCCCTGCCTTCCATCTTCACCCTTAAACGTAGGCTCTCTGACCCTCAGCTCAGCACGCCCGAAATGTGTCTACTCTCCTCCTTCAACTGTGAAGTCCAACTGAGCATGCTCAGGAATGGGCCAGCTCCTGTATGAATGTGTTTAGGCTCCCCGAATATGATCTCCATGGTTGCTTTGTTCAAGTGTCACGGGTGGTAGTGGAGAAACACTGTCTCCCAGTGGCAGCCTGTGCAGTTAGTTCCCTTACAGTTTTCGGGATCTCCATTCCAAGTAGAGCTGGATTCTAGACTTCCAAGTAGAAAAGAATTTCAGGAAGAGCCAGTCTAAAGCAGAGTTAGAGTTTATTTAAAAACACAAACACTTTAAGAATAAGGACTTAGAAAGAGGAGCAGAGAAGAAAGTCAACATCCCTGTGTCTGGGCGTCTCAGTCACAGCCAAGTGACTTTTTTTTTTTTAACAATTTTTTTATTTTTATTTTTATTTTTTTAGATTTAGCTATTTATTATAAGCGCCAGATCTCATTACAGATGGTTGAGAGCCACCATGTGGTTGCTGGGAGTTGAACTCTTAACCACTGAGCCATCTCTCCAGCCCCTTAACAATTTATTTAACTTTATTTTATGTGCATTGGAATGAAGGTATCAGGTGCCCAGAACTGGAGTTACAGACAGTTGTGAGCCGCCATGTGGATGCTGGGAATTGAACCTGGGTCCTCTGAAGAACAACAGTCAGTGCTCTTAACCACTGAGCCATCTCTCCAGCCCCACCAAGTGGCTTTATAGCAGCTATCCATACTGTTTCTGGTGGCTTTAGACTTGAGCCCAATGTGATCATGGTTAGTTCCTATGCATTGGATAGGGCACAGCTAAGGTAAAGCCCTAGATCACAGGGTTGCTGGGGAAATTAAGACATTTTTAATTAAGTCTTGTTTTTGAGATTCCCAGAAATTATCTAGGAAAGGAGTAAGGCCATACTTGAAGGTCATATAGGTTCAGGCCTTAAGCATGCTTCACTGTTTATTTTAACACAAAATATCTCTAAAATAAAGAGTAACTCCTAGCTGGCAACCTTTACAACGAATGTTAATTGTGCTAGAATTCTGCAGGAAGCATCAGTCAGTCTCCTGTTCCTTTTCATAGCCCCCATCATGGGAAGAATGTAAGAGCTGGAGGAGGAGGAGAGACATGCTGGCTGCTGGACATCACTGTTGTGGCTGTTGTAACATCAATGTCAGTCAACGGATAGCACCCACTGTCACCTACACAGGCTCAAGCCCACACCCTGGGGCAGCTGATGGCTGCTGAGGGAGGGAGGGTCACTCTCCTTTAGCAACATGGCCCCTGGTAAGTTGCTCACACCCTAGTGGATGATCCCACACCCAGGAGCATCTGGGCAGCCTTGACTGGTTTCAGGGTTATCAGTAACAACAAAAAGGAGGACATGCTATTGGGAGGCAGCACAAGGGCACTAGGAGGAATTAGAGAAGGTACTGGTGGATGGAGATGGTCCAAGATACAGCCTATAAATGTATATGTTACAAAAATATACTATTTAAAAAATAAATAAAAATACAGACAAGGAGAATGAGGGGAGCAAACGAGAATAGTGTAATGACATGTATCAATATACCATACCCCCAAACTCCTTACTTGTAGCCGGGTGGTGGTGGCACACACCTTTAATCCCAGCAGTTGGGAGGCAGAGGCAGGCGGGTCTCTGAGTTCACGGACCAGTCAGGGCTACCACAGAGAAACCCTGTCTTGGGAAAACAAAACAAAAAAATTAAAAAAAAAAATGGACACTTCCTTATATACACAGAAAAGTCATGAACATGGAGAGGGGCTTACTGGGAAGAAAACGGGGTTCAGAAAAACTGGAAGGGAATGAGAGAGGATAATGAGGGGTGAATATGATTAGTTTTCATTCAATCCTAGTGAGAAGGCATCATCATATAGTACATACCCTAGAGAAATGAAAACTTATGTTCACACTCACAATAACCTGTATGCAAATGTTTATGGTAATTTTATCTATAATCCCCTAAACCTGACAACTAAATATGCTTCAGTGAGTAAAGAGTGGCATGGCCATACAAAATACCATAGAACAAAGCCCTGGCTTCGTGAAAGGTGAGCTCCAGGCTGCATGGACAGAGGCAAACCCATAGGGATACACACACAACAGGTATGTGCTGACTTTTCAGAGGCTGGGGTAGGGTTGGGTTGAGGTCTGACCACAAAAGAGACCTGTGACAGGATCTTTTGGGCAGCAGTCCTGATTTGTGGTGAATAGGTCAGGTCAATCTATATGCCTGTTAAAATCCAGCAGGGTGTGGTGGTGGTATGCATACTCAGGAGGCAGAGGCAGAGGCAGAGAGGCAGCCTGGTCTGAGTTTGAGGTTAGCCTGGACTACATATCTAGTTACAGGCCAGCCAGAGTCACATAGGGAAGCCCTGACTCAAAACAAACAGGCCTCTAAGAACTGGACTGGGGATTAACTTGGTAGTAGGGCACTTGCCTAGCACTCATGAGGCTGTGGGTTTGAGTCCCATTTGGGAGTGAGGTGACCCAGAAAATTGTGAATTCAAAAGTTGAATTTATATGCTAATTTAAACTTTTCAAGAGAGATTTATTTTTACTTTCTGTGTATGAGTGTTTTCCCTACATGTATGTATGTGCGCTGCATGTGTGCCTGCTGCCCTAGGAGGCCGGAAAAGGGCATCAGATTCCTTGGAACTGGAGCCACAGCCAGGTGGGGACTGGGAATTCAACCCAGGTCATCTGCAAGAGCAACAAATGCTTATAATCACCGAGACATCTCTGCACCCCCAGATTTTGTTTTTTTAAATGACTGAAAGATTCAAATAAAACTCTTTTAAAAGAAAATTTCTGTTTCTGCCAGGAGAGTTGCATGGTATGGGCTTGGTCATACCTACCTGCTGTTTGTGTTGGGGGGTGCGGGGGATTGCTCCTGCTGAAAGTCCCAGAGCAACAGTTGCCTCCTCCCTCCTTGACTGCCTCACACCAAACCCCCGAGCAGTCCCTTTGTGAAAATGGGGCACAGGGAGGTTGGGTGTGGTGGTTGGTTTAAATGTCAATTTGCCATAAATCGGAATCACCTACAGGAAGCTACACCTGGAGAATTATCTTGGTTGCCTATAATGGATGTGGGAAGACCTACCCAAGTGTGGACCACATCTGGAAGCAGCTCAGGCAAGGGGCGCGTGGTGCCTGGTGGGAAGCCCTTCACCTGTGCTCCCGGCCTTCCCACTTGCCGCTGTGTGGACTACCCTGTTGTTGCTGCTTCCTCCACTGACATCAGAACCAGCGTTTCCAGGCTCTCTGCCGACTCTCCAGGCTTTGGGGGCCGGGTTGGGGCTGTTGAGGTCCCAGCTTCATGGACTGTGGCCTCTCCAGTGAGAGACAGACGCTGTGGCACGGTTCCCACTGCTGAGCGTCCGGCCTCAAGGGCTGAGACTCAGCCTTGCAGATATATGACAACTATTTACCATACGCTAAGTTAAAGTCTTTTATTTTTACCCTACCAGTTCCATGCTTCCTGAGAACCAGACTAATACAGGGGGAAGAAGGTCTACAGCCTCTACAGCGCTTCAGATGCACGGTACAGCATCAAGCCATCCAACAGGGCAGTCTGCTGCTGTTTGCCTCATAAATGGTCTGAAAAGTTCTAGATTAGACTAACTGGTTAGTGCTTGTCAACATGACATAAACTAATCACCTGGGAAAGGGTACCTCCACTGAGGTGAGCATATCTGTGGGGCTTCTGGACTAACAGAAGGATGTGAGAGGGTATATCCCGCTCTGGGTTGGTGGTCCTGGATTGTGTAAGAAATTAGGGTGAGCCAACCCATGGGGAGGAAACAAGCCAGTAAACAGCATTCCTCCTTGGTTCTGCTTCAATTCCCGCCTTGAGTTCCTGTCCTGATGTCTCTTCATGACAGACTGTGTGAGTCAAATAAACCCCTTCCTCCCCAAGCTGCTTTTGGTGAGTGTTATACTACAAAAGGCAAACTGGAACACTGGTCTTGGCTGGGCATGGTGGCACACACCTGTGATCCCAGCATTCCTAAAGTACAGGCAAGGATCTGAGGAGCTCAAGGCTACACAGCCTGGGTTACATGTCTTAAGTCAAACCAACAACCCCTTCTTGAGTTGGATCCTGGCACCCAGGGCTTCTGAGCAGCCCTGAATTTCAGGGCCTCCTGGAGTCAACTCACTTGTCCTGACCTCTGCCCTAATAACTCCTGAACAGTCAGCCAGCCTGGGACACTGGGTCTCATGGTCTGTAATAAGGCCTGTCGGAGAAAGCTGGACCTGCATCCATGTGTCAGGACTCGTAGGTTGCACAGTGGGAGCTCTGGAAAAGGCTTCTCAGATGAGCAAAGATTAAGCCATTTCTTCTCTCACACAGAGGCTTCTGAGAACACATATAAACAAAGGGCTGTGTGTGGACAGGATGGCCTCTATGATGACTATTACTGATCTGGGGTCCCACTGTGATCCAAGCCCTGTGTAAGTCTGACCTAGAAGACCAGAGTTGGGCCACTGTGGTGAAGGCAGAAGGAGGCCCCTTAGCTAGTAGGTTGGCACTCACTGTGAGACACTGGAGAGCACCAGGATGCTTAAGGCTCTGGCTTGGAATGAATGAAGTGGGATTTTGGCAGATTCAGCTCTGGGTTGGTCATCTAGGGGAAAGCTGCAGGATGCCAAGGCTGCCATACGCACTGTGCACTGGTCTCTTTGGCCTGGCCACCACTTGCCTCTCCCATTCTCTAGACACTAGTTGTGACCTACTACTCACAGAAGTTACCTTCACCATGCTATAATTAATGAATTTAATCTCTAAAGACACAGATTACAAGACAGTAATTGTTGTTTTTTGTTTGTTTGGTTTTTTTGAGACGGGGTCTCACTATGTAGCCCAGGCTGGCCTCAAACTCACCTCGCAATCTTCCCGCTTCAGCCATCTAAGGTTACAGGCATGTACCACCAACCTGTGGACTATGAGGTGAAAAGTTATAGCAACTCAGTTTTCTTATAAAAAGCACCATCTTGTGTGTTCCTGTAGCAACACAAGTAGAATGTTCAAGTTTAGACCTTGGTGTCCTGTTAATGACAGGGCTGTACTGCTGCCCCCAGTACAGGAGCTCGTTGGGTTGGCTTACAGCGGAATCATCAGATGGATCTCTTTCTCATAGATGTCTGGGATCAGTCCCATTGGAGAGTTAATCATGTGCATTGTATTCTTGCCAAACAGCCGGAACTCATAATGGATGAGCTGCTCCCAAAAGCCATTGTTGGGTCGAATGATGGGCCGGCGTGATTTGGTCCAAGTGTGGGCATCTAGAAGGGTCATCGCATGGTACTTCATGAGGTAGGCAAGGCACAGAGCAGCCGAGCGGCTCACACCAGCGGCACAGTGCAGCAGCGTGCGGCCCTGCTTCATCTCCACGGAATGGATGTGGTCGGCAATGGGGTCGAAGAAATCGCAGAGGCGTGCGATGGGCGCATCGACCACGGGCACCTGCACGTACTGGATATCCTCATAGAAGGTGTTTGCAACTTCTACTGAGACGTTGATGACCGTGGTGATGTGATTGCTGGACAGCAGCAGCTTGTTGTTGGCAGCCGCGCCATTGCTGATAAATAGGCTCTTGGTGATCTGTGAGAGGCCACTGAGTGAAGGCTGTGGGAACTGAACTGGGAAGGCACCCAACGGTGAAGTCATCAAGGTGACGGGTCAGCGGGTGGTGATGTGCTAAGCTTCCATCCTTCTGCTAGGCTGTGCTCACTGAACACTGCGGGAAAGAGGACCAAGTTCAGAAGGGCAAGAACTCGGAAGACTTCTGGGAAGTGGATGGCTGGCCTCTAGGGCTAGCCAAGGCAGTCCTCTGACGAGCATTGCAGAAGCATTCAGGGAACTCATGAATTGCACCGAAGTTCCGTGTCACTAAGCTGAAACTGTTATTGGAGTGTTGGGGGTCTTTTCACACAGAAAGTAATGGAAATGAAACAGTCACCCATGACAGGGATACGGGATAGACTTTAAAGGGACTTGGGCTAGTGAGTGGAAGGAAATCAGCCATGGCCCGAGAGACCATGGACAAAGGACGGACCTGCAGGCCTTGGCTTTACTGGGGTGGGTTCAGGTCAGGTCCTAAAGGGCTTCAGGAGAAGTAGGCTGGTACTCAGCAGGGCCTTGGTCCCTAAAGAGTCCCCACACAACTGGACACATAAATGGTGTCATCTACAGCAAAGCTAATGGGAAACTCGTCATGTATTTTGCTCAGCTGTGTGTCAACCGAGATCAAGTGAAGGCAAAGCCTGCCGGTGCTCACCTGGAACACTAGCGACCAGAAGGCAGCAAAGGAAGGTGGAGGGTTCCAGATCCGTGGGCTCTCTTTCATGCCCCCCCCCCCCCCCAATAAAGAGCCAGGGAAACAATCTGCAGGGATTCCTTAGTTCTTTCCTTTGGCAATGAAACAGAGCTGTTTGCTTAAAATTAACTTTTGAGAAATTGGGATTACAGAGAAAACAAGTAGATTTCCCAAGCAGGATGGTTTCAGCTAGCATAATGGACATCTGTCTTAGTTCTCTCATAACAAAAGGTCATCCAAAGTAACATCTGGCCAATCAGAAATTTTCCCTACAGTTCTGTCCCCCTGTTCCTGCCTTCCAAGGAATGTGACTTTGAAGTGACTGATGTTTTTGTTTCTGCTCTCTTCAGTCCTTTTCAAGCCACAAAACCACAGACCTCCTCTGCTTGGCTCACTGGAATATTCTATTGTACAGAATGAAGTGTTGCACAACTTAACAGAAAATAAAGCCAAATAAGATCTTTAAACTGTTGGTCTATGGGGCAACACACCTACCTTATATAGATAGGATGAAAGGAGGTCATCCAAGGGCTTGTAGGAAAGTTAAAATGCAAAGCCTTGTGGGGATGACAAATAAAGGCATGTCTTTCAGGCTGAGGGCGTTATAGAGTTGCAAAGACAGTCTTGACGTAATCACAGACAGTAGGGCATAGTAGAGCAGACCCCGAAGGTGAGGCAAGAAGATGGGGGAGTTCTCGACTAGCCTGGACTACTGAAATTCTTTAAAAAAACAAAAACAAAAACAAAAAACCCCCCAAAAAACAAAAACAAAAAACCAAACAAACAAAAAAATAAAAAACAACCCGGATGGTAGTGGCGCACGCCTTTAATCCCAGCACTCGGGAGGCAGAGCCAGGCGAATCTCTGTGAGTTCGAGGCCAGCCTGGGCTACAAAGTGAGTTCAGGAAAGACGCAAAGCTACACAGGGAAACCCTGTCTCGAGAAAAAAAAAAAAAAAAAAAAAAAAAAACCCACATCAAAAGAACAACCCCCGGGGCTGGAGAGATGGCTCAGAGGTTAAGAGCACTGGCTGCTCTTCCAGAGGTCCTGAGTTCAATTCCCAGCAACCACATGGTGGGTCACAACCATCTGTAATGAGATCTGGTGCCCTCTTCTGGCCTGCAGGCATACATGTAGGCAGGACACTATATACATAATAAATAAATAAATCTTTTTTTTTTTTTTTTTTGGTTTTTCGAGACAGGGTTTCTCTGTGTAGCTTTGCGCCTTTCCTGGACTCACTTGGTAGTCCAGGCTGGCCTCGAACTCACAGAGATCCGCCTGGCTCTGCCTCCCGAGTGCTGGGATTAAAGGCGTGCGCCACCACTGCCCGGCTGAATAAATAAATCTTTAAAAAAAAAAAAAAAAAAAAAAAAAAAGAACAACCCCAGTACCATTCCCCACAAAAATGAAGAGTTTGGATTGAGGAGGAAGTGAGAAACTTGGTTGTGGCTGTTTTCTCACTTGACGGCCAACGAGGCCTTTGGAATCTAGGTAATTTGTCACCCGTGGCAAGTGAGACCTGAGAGAAAACAGTTTTGTTCATCGTCAGACAGCAAGTTCTGAAGGCTGGTATTTCTGGTGAATTACACTTTCGGGAGAAAGTTGGCAAGTACAGGTGGGGCGTTGGTTAAATGCTGGGTTATAAACGTGGACCAGGGCCGGGCGGTGGTGGCGCACGCCTTTAATCCCAGCACTCGGGAGGCAGAGCCAGGCGGATCTCTGTGAGTTCGAGGACAGCCTGGACTACCAAGTGAGTTTCAGGAAAGGCGCAAAACTACACAGAGAAACCCTGTCTCGAAAAACCAAAAAAAAAAAAACAAAAAAAAAACGTGGACCAGAGTTCACAAGTTGATGGGTGGGGGAGGCCACTTCAAGCCTAGGAATGGCTCTCTACATGGTGACAGGACTCCCACGATCTTACCTCTTTCCCTCAGCACCGCGGGAGTCTTTCAGCGACTGTAGGGCGGAGCCGCGGGCGACGGTCTCCGAGAGGGCCCGTCATGATCCTGGATCTTGGCAGCAACGGCTTCTCCTCGCGCAACAATGGGCAGTTCTGGGGCCAGGGAGAAGCCGCGGCCTGCTGTGCACCCGGGCGCAGCCTCGCAGGACTCGCGCAGTTACTAGACCTCACGGAGAAGCCGGGTGGGCTGCAGCAGAGCCTACCCGCCCCGTCTCCACGGAAACGCGCTTAACAGCGCGTCTCGGAGAGCCCGGAAGGACCATCATCAAATCGGCCGCCTGCAGGCCCCGCCCCTCGCACGTTTCCTAGCAACGCCCTTGCGGAACGTCACGAAGAGCGCCAAAAGATCATGAGGTCCGCAGCCTGCAGGCTCCGCCCCCTTGCCTGTCCCCATGGCAACGCACAAAGCTCCTCCTTAGACTTCTGTGTAGTTAGTCGCTCCGCGTCCGCGCGCCCTTCCACCATGTCCTTCAACTCAGCTGCCACTCCCGAGTCGTTCTCCAACCCATTATCCTCCACACATCCCAGAAAGCCTTCGGTCAAATGGGATCTGGGCTCGAATTTCGAGTCCGTTGCCAAGGAGACCACCACCCCTGGCACGGACTTCCGGCGCGAGAGACTGGAGAGCCAGCCGGATCTTGGCCTCCGCATCCACCCTCAGATCTACTTCCTGCGGCCGCGGCCCCAAGTCCCGAAGTTGTTATTCAGGTGTGGTTCTGAAGGTGTACAGAGCGGTCGTCAGACCCGGAACCTCTGAGGGAATCCGAGCTTTCAGATCCACATTGCCCCAACCGTGTCCCCCACCCACCCTGCCCATCCGAGTTCCTCGGATCCCAGAAAGGTCGGGATTTTTCAGGCCCAGGCCAACCCGTAGGACCCTCAGAAGCCGGGACTCTGGCCTGAAGGCGCAGTCCCATTTCCAGGCCTCCGAAAGAATCCTGGCCCTGGCTTACTGTAGGCTTAACATCGTGCGGTCCGAGCGCACTTTGAGGTGACATCTGGTGAGGCTCAGGTCTCAGGCCCAAATTTACTCGACCCCCGCTTTCAAGCCTTTCCATTCTCCATGGTTCAGGAAAAGCCTTCAGTTCCCCGTTGTTGGCCCCAATCCTCACAAGCCTCAATCCCGCCCCCTTTCCTCAACCCTTTCCCCAGCATCAGCCAAGTTCCTACAGAGGATTTATTATGGAAAAGCAATTTGGTTCAAAATGACCATTTATTACATGAAAGAGTATTTCCAACCTTTCTCCTTTTTCATGTCTAAAATTGATAAATTTGGTGCCATCACTGAGTAAAGAGGATCTCTAAATATTTAGGCTCTTTTCCTTGAAAATAGGATTTAGATTGTGTGTGAATTCCTGACCTTTAAACCTGTTTTTCTGTTAGCATCTGGGTATGTTGAGTCATTCTTCGCAGAAGCCAGAAAAAAATGGAAATAGAAAGCTTGGGATGTTGGTTTCTTTGTAATGTTTGTAAATGTAAGCACACCCGGAAGCCAGTTGTTACCTACCGATAGAAAACGAATTGGAAAACATTTTCTTTCTTTCTTTCTTTCTTTTTTTTTTTTTTTTTGAGAAAGGTTTCTCTGTGTAGTTTTGTGCCTTTCCTGGAACTCACTCTGTAGCCATAATAAATCCTCTGGCCTTGAACTCACGGAGATCTGCCTGGCTCTGCCTCCCAAGTGCTGGGATTAAAGGTGTGCGCCACTACTGCCTGTCTGGACAACATTTTCTAATCCCTTGAAAGGTTTTATTTATTTTCACACACACACCACCCCCCCTTCTTAAACTGGGCATAGCTGCCCATGCTTGTAATCCCAGCACTCGGATCAGAAATTCAAGATCATCCTCATCTTAAAAGGGAGTTCTAGGCCAGCCTGGGATACATGAGACCCTGTCTCAAAAAAAAAAAAAAATCTTTTTTTTGGTCCTAATTATAAAAGTAGTGTATTTTCTGATGATCTTATTGTTCTGATGTGCTAACCAATAGAATTTATGAATATAAGTTTTCATGTTTGCTGTTCCTTCTGTTCCTGTGTGTATCGGACAGACAGGCATTTCTGTTTCAGGCAATTTGTGAAAATGTGTGTGTAGTTCTTCCTTTATTTGTTCTTGTTTGTTTGGGAATCTGTATTCAGGGAACATTTCACCAGCACATCTATCATTTCTCTGGTTTCTTTTAAAATGATTTGTCAATCATTACAAAAGTAATGTACGCTAATTAAAACATCATCAATGACAAACTGAAGACAGACTAGCAAAACAAAATGACCAGAAACAATCACTGTTAACTTTTGTTTTGTTTTGTTTTGTTTTGTTTTTCAAGACAAAAAAAAGTTAACAGTGACTGGTTTTTCGAGACAGGATTTCTCTGTGTAGCTTTGTGCCTTTCCTGGAACTCGCTCTGTAGACCAGGCTGGCCTCGAATTCCGCCTGGCTGAGTGCTGGGATTAAAGGCGTGCGCCACCACCACCTGGCTCACTGTTAACATTTTGATGTGTGCATTTAAGGTCCTGTGCTGGTTAGCTTTTGTCAACTTGAAACAAACTAGAGTTTCTTCATTCCAGGTTTTGTTTGTGGAGTTGCCTACAGCTGTGGGCGTGTGTGTGGGGGGCGGTTCCTAGTGATTAACGGGGGAGGATGCAGCCACTGTGGGTGGGGCCATCCCTGGGCAGGTGGTTCGGTTGTATAAAGTCATGAAAAGCATGCCAGTAAGCAGCCTTCCTACTTTAGTTCCTGCCTCAGTTTCATTTGACGAGCGATTGTAACCTGTAAGATGAAATAAACACTCTCCCGCCTCAGGTTGTTTTGGGTTAGTGTTCTGTCACAGCAACTAAGAGGCCAAGATAATCCGTATGTGTGTATGCATGTTATATTTTTTAAAGACATAACAGCACAAAAAAAACCACTGTTTAGTAATCTGCTTTTTTCTCTATCTAGTTATCCCATCAAGATATTTATACTTGATTACATGTATTTTATCTGATGTTTTAGCGCAATTATCCACATGCTTCCTTGTTGAACACTTGGTTTCCAATTTTTAGAATGCATGAACATTTTTTTATGGGAAAAAGCATTTTAAAAGCTTCACAGTGTAACTAAATTACCAGAAAATGAAAACCCATTGGCCAGCAACATCCCTTGATGTTTATTTGATAGGACATGTGGCCCAGGTTGGCTTAACACACAATGTAACTAAGAATGACCTTGAATTTCCAATCCTCCTGCTTCTGCCCCCCGACCAGTAGGTGAGTTTTTATTGGTGCTGGAGATCACCCAAGATTGTGTGCATATAAACACACATTCTACCAACTGAGCCTCCCCCCAGTTCCCCATTCTCATATTCCTCTGAACTTCTCACCCTTGTGGGTGTCTCCAACCCACTGATGCCGTGGGGCTCAGGATGCCTATGAATGCCAACATCCAACACAACACGATGTAGCAAACTTAAAACACTAGAGATTGGGCACGGGTGGGGAAAACTTTTTTTTTTGGTAACTCAGTTGTGTGGTTCCTGAGTGTGAACTTTGTCAATGACACGGTTGTCTTGTAGTATCAAAAGGTGGAACACACTTAATAGAGTCTCCAGAAATCCTGTAACACCCCAAACTTCCCTCTCTTCCCAAACTCTTTCATTAAACTTCCCTTATTAACTAACCCTGTGTCCACCCAAACTCCTCCCTTATCTCTTCCTCCCTCCCTCCCTCCCTCGCCCTTTTCTTCTTTCTCTCCTTCCTTCTTTCCCTTCTTCCCTTTTAAAGACAGTTGCCTATGTAGCCCAGACTGGCCTCAAACTCATAGAGATCTGCCTGGCTCTGTCTCCCAAGTGCTGGGATTAAAGGTGTGCGCCACCACTGCGTGTTTAGAGAACATTTTCTAATCACTTGGCATGCACTAATACAACCAGCTTTCCTCTTTCTTTCTTTCTTTTTTTTATCCTGTTCTGCTCTACCCCCACTTCCCAGATCCCCTTAGATCTAGGCTGTGAAGGAAGAACTCCCCACCTCAGCCTCTCTCAAATTCGTCGTTTGCCTCCACCTTCCAACTTATATTCATCTCAGACCTCCTCCACCTTTGCTCTTACCTTGCTGTTTCTCATTAAGATGACCACTCCCAGCCTTCTGGGTAGAGCTTGGGGAGTGCTTGACCTGCATATGTAGTCCTAGGTTCCACCCAGCACCGCCACAGAGTAACGACAACAACAACAGTTCTCCAGGACTCTTCTGATTCTATGCTGACCTCTCTTGTGGACTGCTCTGGACCTCTCTGTATCCTCCCAGGATGCTCTTCCTCCCTGTTCGGGAAGCAGCCTCTTAGCATTCCTTGTCTACAGGCAAAACTTAATGGTTTCCTCCATCCTCGGAAGGTGAGAAAGCCACTTATCTTGAAATCCAAGGAGTCAGGTGGTGGTGGCACAGGCCTTTAGTTCCAGCACTTGGGAAGCAGAGGTAGGTGAATCTCTATGAGTTCCAGGCTAGTTTTGTCTACAGAGTGAGTTTCAGACCACCCAGAGCTACATAGCAAGACCCTGTCTCAAAAACAAAACAAAATAAAATTAAACCCAAAGAGGTATCTTCCACTATCCCAGCATCTGTCAAAATCAGGCCTTGAGCGGTTGTCTCTAACCTGTTCCATCTTCCCCTGCCCACTCTAGCATAATGAATTCCAATGATGCAAATGTGAGGAAAATTTTACCCAAGAGCAATTTATCTCGGGTGATTATTCGGGACAACCTCAATGCACAGCGCATCTACGAGATGGAGGTAGGGTACCCACCAGCTTCTGTGCTGGAGCCTGTTAGTGGTCTGACCATTCCACACTCATATCTCCTTCCTTCCTAAGAAAGCTGCCTCTGGAGCCCAGGGTGGAAGTGGGACTCTCAGCTCCTAGAGCTAATGGGAGGCCATGAGAGTATTTTAAGGCATGCCCCATCTTTATGGACAAGACAAATGACAGTAGGGGTTCGTGTCTTGCCCAAGGTCATGAGCTTGCTCATCATGAGCTGAAGAGAGAGAAAGACCTCACCTCTTGGCTCATGGCTTGTTTCCTCAAAACACAGCATGTCCCATGCAGAACCTCAGGCTTTACAGCTTGAGTTGGCATCAACACTATCTGGCAGTTTTTTTCTTTTGCAACGTTATCCCATTTCCAGCTGAGAAGTAAGACGAGCAGCAACAACAGCAAACCCACAGCATGACGACAAAGACCGAGTAGGCCCCATGCACGTCCCCTGGGTTAGACTTCCCATGCTCCGGGCTCAGGGAGATAGGCTGGACTCGGGGATAGGTCAGTTCTGTATGATCTTGAGTGAGTCACACTTTCTTCATTTTTAAAGCAGCATTTGAAATTCTTTCAGTTACAGGTTCTGTAAAGTAAATTTGAATGGTTTCAGCAGAATGGGGAACTTGAGTTCACATAAGCAGGGATAGATAGGACAGGATGACATATGCTTCCCAGCTTCCCTGGCAGCTCTTGCTGCCTGCCTTTTGAAGTCTGTATTTTTTTTGGGGTGTATCCCTTTCTACCTGACTTAGAAATACTTGCACATCCTGGTCACGCTGTAGTTTGGGGGATCACCTGCGTTGGGCATGTATCTCATATCCTGATTGTGCTGTAGTTAGGGGGATCCCCTGCATTGGCTCCCCACATCCCATCCTGCAGCAGTTCATTGTAACGCACAACTGAATAAGGGGAGTGGATTTGTCCTCCCAGCCTTACAGTCTTGTTGAGACAGGACAGGAGTTAGGGAATGGATGAAATTAGAATTCTCTGTAATATAAGAGCTGTCACAGGAAAGTAGACATATATTAGATAGACATATATGGATATAGGTTACAGATAATATGTAGACAGCAGAGTGATTAGTAAGGATGGGGGATAGGATTTATGGAAGGAGAAAGAAACAAGATGGGCCTCTTTGGCTCCTGCAAACTCCATTTCTTTATTCCCTTACAATTTTCCTTTATTATTTATTCTGTGGTGCTGGGAATTGGACCTAGGGCTTCGCACACGCTAGGCCGGTTCTCTATTGAGCTGCCTTCCTAGCTTTGCGAATACCCATTTCCTTAGCTTGGTCTTCAGATTATTCCGTTTGAAATCAGGCAGTGCAGCTGCAGACCATCAGAGGGCGCCACAGTACTCTATCCAGCTCAATGCCCACTTTACAAATAGGGGAACCGAGGTCCTGTGTGGTTACTTCCAGGTCAGCAGCCTCCGATGTCTCTTGTTACCCAGTGACTTGTTTATCCTAAATTCATCTCTGTTTTTTGTAAGATGAAAGCTTCTGACAAGACCAAGAGAAGAGTGAGCCACTTGTACGACCACCTGAAAAAAAAGTTCATGACGGACCAGCTGAGAAAGATGCTGCGCTGGAGGCGGGACTCTCTGAGCACCCAGCAGTACTTGGATAGGCAACGGGCCTACAGAGCCTCGACTTAGATGGCAAGCCAGCCACCGTAGCATTGGCAGAATGATCTGCCCCAGGAACCCGAAACCACCCTGGTGAGAGCCGAGGAGCCCCGAACATGCTGGTCTCCACCGGGGTGGAGCAATAAAGGGAAAGCCGCGGATAGGAAAAGAGCACAACATGTCCTCGGTTCCAATCTGCCTTGCTCCTCCGTCCCCTCTATTCCGGTGAAAGTTCGGTATAGCCACCGATGCTTGGTGGAAGGGGGAGCGTCAAGCAGGTCTCCCTGGTTTGTGCAAACATGGAAACTTCTGTGCCCACATTCTCTTTCTCTTTTTCCTACTTCTCTCTTTCCCTCCACCATCCCCACTTTCTCCATCTCTCCTTCATGTCTACCCTTCCTTTCTTCCTTCCTTCCTCCCTTCCTTCCTTCCTTCCTTCCTTCCTTTCTTCCTCCCTCCCTCCCTTCCTTCCTTCCTTCCTTCCTTCCTTCCTTCCTCACTTCCTTCCTTCCTTCCTTCCTCCTTTCCCTCCCTCCCTCCCTCCCTCCCTTCCGTTCTCCCTCTCTCCCTCCTTTCCTTCCTTTCTTCCTTCCTTATTTTGGTCTGGAGACAACTCAGGACTTTGCATGTTCTCGGCACATGCTCTCCCCAGATCCAGGGTAACACATCTGCCAGCTGTGCTGGGGCTGTTGACATCTTAGATGGAAAGGACTGAGTAATACCACTGTGTGACATTCCAGTGGTAAGGAGGTCAGGGCGAGGCACCAAACAGTGCCACCTACCCGCTTGTATGACCTTGGAACCTCCCTGGGCCCGTTTCCTCCTCTGAAAGAGTCAGGCAGCAGGGAAGACAACCTGCCTCCAGGAGCTCGTCCTTTCCCACTGCTGTCATAATGGCAGTGCCCATCCGCTCCCAGCCCTCCTGGTGCTTTTGCAAAGCACTCTCAGCCCTCCTGCCTCCTGTCTGCTCCTCCCCAGAGCCTCCTTAACTCACATGCTTGCTTTTCTCACAGACTTTAGGTTCTAGTGGCTTCATTCTGCCTGTAGTATAGCAGCTCGGGTCTTGGTCCTTAGCCCGGATTAGATTGTATATCTTGAGGGCAGGAAGTCAGAGCCCACTCAGTCTTGATATGGGTCTCTTTTGGATGCTTCTCCAACCAGCCCTGAGGATAGGCCCCTCCTGTACCCAGTCCCCACACCTGTATCGGTGCCAAGTGTTTGACTGGCTTTGACTTGTTTACACACTTTTCTTCCTGATCAGGCTATGACACTGACATCTCTAATCACAGTATCTAGGAAATTTTGTCCTAGAGAATTTCATACAGTATCTCTTGATCCTATCCATCCCCACTGCTTTCATGTCTCTTTTTTAAGGAAAAACTCTCCAATCGGATGTCCTTGTCTTCTGACTTTGGTCCCCTTCCGTGATGTCCCCCAAGCCTTGAGGATGGGGTACTGTTATAATTGTATTACTTGGGGTCAGATACCTCATGGCCAGCTGATGTCTGCATTTTGACCAGTTGAGACTTTTTATTTTATGTGTTTTGCCTACACTTCTGTCTGTGTACCATGTGCATGCCTGGTGCCTGCAGAGGCCAGAGGCAGGGTTGGATCCTCTGAGGGTTGGGATTTCAGAGGATTGGGATCGCCATGTGGGTGCTGGGAATCAAATTCAGCTCCTCTGCAAGAACATCCAGTGCTCTTAACAGCCAAGCTATTTCAGCCCCTATGATGATAATGGTGATGATGGTGATGATGATGATGACGAGGAAGATAATGATGAGGAAGATGATGATGGGTTTCTGAGACGGGGTCTAATGTAGACCTTTCTGGCCTTGAGCTCTCTATGTAGCTGAGGATGGCCTCAACTCCTGATCCCCCTGCCTCTATCTCCTGGGTGCTGGGATTATAGATGTGTGCTAACACACTCAGTCCTTCCTCACAATCCCCTTCCTACTACACTCAAGAGAAAGCATGCTCTATTTGTGTCATTTATTCTGCCTTATAAAATGACATCCAATAACTTTTTTTTTTTTTTTGGTTTTTGAGATAGGGTTTCTCTGTGAAGCTTTGCGCCTTTCCTGGAACTCACTTGGTAGCCCAGGCTGGCCTCTAAGTCACAGAGATCCACCTGCCTCTGCCTCCCGAGTGCTGGGATTAAAGGCGTGCGCCACCACCGCCGGGCTCTACATTTGTTTTTCTGCAGATATAATATCATTTTTATTCTTTTTTCTGTGTGTATTTTTAAATCCCATGCATCTGTTGATGGACATCTAGCATGGTTTCATTTCCTGGCAATTGTGAATACTGCATTAACAAATGTGTATGTGTAGATACTTCTGTGTTATGCTGACTTACTGTTTCTTGAGTAGGTACTCAAGAAGTAGGTTCTAAGCCAGTGAAGGAGAGCCTCAGCAACAACGTAGATGAACTTGCCCATGAGAGTGAGGGCAAGCAGGCAAACAGCACAAGCTTCCTCCTTCCATATCCTTTTATGTGGGCTGGGGTGGGTCTTCCATCTCACATGATCCCGTCATGAAAAATCCCTCACAGGTGTGCCCCGATGCTTGGATTTTAGTTGATTCCAAAGATATTCAGGTTGATAGTCAAGATTATCTATCGTGTGTGTGTGTGTGTGTGTGTGTGTGTGTGTGTGTGTGTGTGTAGAGATATAGGGGACAGAGAACAATTTTGTGAATTATTTCTTTCCTGTCACCTTTACATGGATTCTAGAAATGGAACTCAGTTTTCTGGCCTGAGCCATCTCACTGGGCTACCTTTCCTAGCTTCTAAAATGTACATTTTCAAATAGTCCCTAATAATCCGCTGGATTTCATTGAAGTCTATTTTAACATCCACTTCTATATCTCAAATGTATTCATTTGAGCCTTCTCTTCTTTGGTTAGGTTAGCTAGAGGTTGTCAATATTGTTTTTAAAAATCTTTAAAATTTTATTTATTCATTCTGTGTGTGTGTGTGTGTGTGTGTGTGTGTGTGTGTGTGTGTGTGTGCAAGTGCCCAGGTGGAGGTCAGTGGGCAACTTTCAGGAGTTGGTTTTCTCCTTCTAACATGTGGGGTTTGGGGATCGAACTCAAATTTGTCAGGTGTGTGCCTTTATCCACTGAGGCATATTGCCAGCCCTGTCTTTTTACTTGATGGCCCTGGAATCATACTCCTCTTAGGCTCCTAGTGTTGGGATTACGGGTGTGAATCACTGTTGTGTGAGCCTTCCTGAGGAGGCACAACTTAACATTTGTCTACCCACTCCAGATAGGAAACCCATGACAGACCAAAGAACTGATCACACTAGAATCCAACTTGGTGAACTAGTGAATGTATTGTATGATAATGAGTCCATTTATTATACTTACAGAGTATAGTCGAGGGATTACTTGTGGGAGCAAGGACTCACAAACAGGACCCAATGTGGGTGAAGACTTAGGGGTGCTGCAGCGCTGGAGAGCAGCTTGACAGCTCTGAGAGTCTCTCCCAGACAGCTTTGTGGGTCAGACTCATCGCCTCAGCCACTCCAGCACAGTTGACTCTTTCCATAACCTTGGGATTGGGGCTCTCTTGAATCTTACAAGTTCAGCTTTCCCAAGCATGTGAAGTTAGCTTCCATCAGAGTCTCAGGAGCCTTCCCATTCCCTTTTCCACATCTTTTGGATAGCATATCCAGTAGAATCGGTTAAGTCCATTTGATCTATGGTATAGTCTAGCTCTGCAGTGTCTTTGTTGATTTCAGTTGGAAAGACCTATCTAGTGATGAGAGTGGTGTACTGAAACCACCCATTGTTACTGTATCAGGACCTATGTGACCTATGCCCTTTAGTATTTGTTTTATAAAATTAAGAGCTGCAAATTTGGTGCTTACACATGATGTGTATCCTTACAGTTGTTACATAATTACCATCGCCATCTACCCCCTTCTTTGAAACAGCCTATCCTACCACAACCCCATACATAGCTTAACTTCCGTATAATATTATAGGACCTGCCTTCGTATTACACTTCCCGGGGGCCCAGAGGAGACACTACCAGTGGTGCGGGAATGAATCTAGATGTATGGAGCTCCTTCGTCCAACTTGTTTATTAGCCCGCCACCATCGTTCTGCCAGCATAACTCTTCCTGCTTCTATCGGAACTGGCCTGTATCTTTTCCAAGACAGCCACACCTTCATACTTACACTACAGCATAAGAATTGCAAGGCCTCCACCAGAAGCTTCCTGGCAACTTCATTTGCAACCCAAAAAGGGGAAGAGAATAAAGGAGGACTTAGATAGGAGCTGGAATAAATCAGAGAAGGAATTTATGTGCTAGGAACATATCCTTACTGTGGTTGAAAACATTATGAGTCTATCACAAATGTGCTCAAACTATAAACTTACAGGTGATAGGGTAAAGAAATCTGTAAGTCACTAAAAATAAAACTGCCACTGTTTTTCTCTGCTGCCAGTTTTCTGACAGGGCAGGGGAGGAGTACTGATAGCCAGTCAATCTGCATCACAGCTTGAAGCACCCGGTGAGGGGAAACCCCTTTATTCTAAGAAATCTGTGGAAGATCTGAACTTGATTTGCATAATAAACAAAGCTATGCATCTAGTAGCCTTTTTTTTAAGTCTCCTAGGCTCAGCGGGGGTGGGGGTGTGGGTGTGGGGGTGTGTGGGAGTGGGGGTTGGGGCTTGGGGGGATGTTAGTACCTAGTGGAACAGTTTCTGAGAAGCTTAACTGTTTGTCAAAATGGTTTGGAAGTATTTGGGCACGCAAGAATTTCATAGCAGAAGACAGCTGAAACATTAAAAACTATCATACCAAAGATTCATAATAAATGGTCAAAGTATAGCTTTAATACACAGCTGAATCTCTATAATATAGTCTTGCAGCTCGCAAGACTTAACAATTGTATCTTTTTGAATGATTATTCCCTTTTTTTAATATAAATTTGCCTTTATCTCTTCTGGGGCCAGCAAGATGGTTTAGTGGGTAAGGGCATTTGCTGCCAAGCCTGGTGACCTGGGTTTGATATCTGGGCCCCACATGGTGAAATGAGAGAACTGACTCCCATAAGCTGTCTTCTGATTTCCATATATGCACCATGGTGTGTACATACACACACACACACACACACACACACACACACACACACACACACAAAATGTGAAAAAAGATCTGAAAATTGCTATGTGCGTTTTTGTGGGGAGGTGGGAGGCTCCATCTGCTTGGTAAATTGATTTCCACCCTTTGTTGACGCACAGTTGGATGTCATTGCTAGTGAGATATGCTTATTGGAGGCAATAGATACATGGGATCTGTTTTATTTAATTCAGTCAACTAGACTCAGTCCTTTTATTGGTGAGCCAAAGCCATTTACATTTAAAATTATTATTTAGACAGGCTTGCAAATGTTGATTGGATTTTCTTTCTTTGGTGTTGGTGTGTGTATATGTGCATGCTTATGGGTGGGTACACATGTATGTTATATACATGTATGTGGAGACCAGAGGGCAACTTTTGGTTCTTCCTCAGGAGTCAACTACTTTGTTTTAGACCTGGGTCTCTCATTACCTGGTGCTTTCTGATTTGGTTAGGCTCACCAGCTAGCAGGCCTCAGCAATCTGTCTCCATCTCCCCAACGCACACACTACTTCCCCATGTTTTTCTTCAAACATGGATTCTGAGGATCAAACTCAGGTCTTCATGTTTGCGTGGGAACATTCACTGGCTGAGCTATCACCGCAGCCCCCCCTCTTTTTTCTTCCCTATTGGCATTAGATGTTTGCTGGTTTACTGTGCTGGGCACGAAGGATTCCTTCCTAGCGGTCCTTTGTTGTCGGTTCCTCCCATTCCTATTTCTATTTACTCGTGCATTTGTGTATGTGTGTGGGTGTATGCAGGTCACAGCATGTGTGTGGAGGTCAGAGGACAACTTGCAGGAATGGTTCTCTCCTTGTACCATGTAGGTTCTGGAGCTGGACCTCATGCTGACAGACTGGGCAGCAGGTGCCTTTACCCACTGAGACATCTCTACCCTATTGTCTGAAGCTAACTCCATAGCTCCAGCAGAGCCCTGAACTTCCACAGCCACATCCATCCAGCAAGGGGATTCATGTTCCAGGTTTAGAAATGACAAAGACAGATGGACCTATGTAGATCTCAGTGGCGTACTTTCTTCCCAAAGCCCCACACACTTGAGAAACACCCCTTGCTAGAACATTAACCATCCCAGGAGTATGATCTGCAGAGTCCCAGGAGGGTGGGAAACCTGCCCAGTCCACAGACAACAAAGCTATTGTGAAGGCAATACAAACCCCATCTTAGGGAAGGGCCGCCATCTTAGACCACCTGCTGTACTCAGTTCCAGAAAGGATCTCAGGAATGTGCCATGACAGCTAGTATGCTCCTGTAGACGTTTTATCTGTGGTTTATGGCCCTTGGAGATATCTAGATAATCCTGATGAGCAATCTAGATAATCCTCTTTAGTGGTTTGTGGTTCCCTGCCAAAAGTCTAACCCAATGGTTTCAAATGTGGTTTCCCGCCCAAAGTCTAGACCAATAGTTTCAAAAAATAACCTTACCCCATATCCTTTCTACCCAATCCCAAGTTGCCAATTCCTGGCTTGTGGTTTTTCCCTATAAAAACTCTGCACACCTGGGCTCGTGGCTACTGCCACATTTCCTTTCATCTGCTGTGTGGTGGCCCAGGTTGAACCTGAATAAAAGGACCCCTATGTGCTTGCATCGGAAACCGGCTCCTTGGTGGTCTCTGGGGGTTTCGAGAAATGGGTACAACAACATGTGTGGCCAGAAGAGGACGTCTGGTCCACAAAGAAGGGAAGCTACTAAAGTGAAGACAGCTCTGGAAGACACTGGATACTTGTCCAATACAGGGTTAGCGTCAGGAAAATGATAAGACAAGAATCAGCCTTCATGTACCTAGGAGTCTCCAGTTCTAGGACTCAGAGGGAAGCCATTTAAATGCAGTCCTTGCGTGTGAGCTCCCTGTGTTTTTCATTTTGGTTTATCTGAACAGTATTTTCTTTTTGGTTTTGGTTTTTCGAGATGGGGTCTCTCTGTATAACAGCTCTAGTTGTCCCGGAACTCAATCTGTAGACCTGGTTGGCCTTGAACTCACAGGGATCAGCCTGCTTCTGCCTCCCAAGTGTTGGGATTAAAGGTGTGAACTACCACCACTGGGCAACATTTTAGCAGCATTTTTTACCTTATCCTACTTAAATACTTTGTGGCGCTCAAGAGATGGTTCAGCATGTAAAGGTGCTTGCTACAGAGGATGTCTTGAGTTCACTCTTCAGAACACACATGGTAGGAGGAGAAAACCAATTCCCTCAAAGTTGTCCTCTGCCCTCCACATGTGTGCTGTGAGACATGCTTTTTTTCTTTCCTTTTTTTTGATTCATATTTTCTCAGTTGTTCTTTCTAATATATATTTCAGTAGTATTTTGACTATCTTAATGTTTTTCTTAAAGCATCCATATTTTTATTTTGTAACACCCCATTTCTACATTTATTCAATTTTGGTTACAATTTTTTTCCATCATTGGGAAATCTTTGTTCTTTTTCTTTTTCTAATTTATTGCTCTTTTCTCTACCCCTTCATAACATTCTTCTCCACTTTGTTTGTTTGTTTGTTTGTGTTTTGGGGAAGAGGTTTCTCTGTGTAGCCCTGGCTTTCCTGTAACTCTCTCTGTAGACCAGGCTGGCCTTGAACTCACAGAGATCAGCCTGCCTCTGCCTCCTAAGTGCTCGAGTTAATTCACTCCTTTTGATTTCATTTCTTCTCTATTTCTCATGACTCCTTAACTCCATCCTTTCACGATTACTCTTTTTTTTTGTTTTTGTTTTTTTGAGACATGGTTTCTCTTTGTAGTGTTGGCTGTCCTGGAACTCGCTCTGTAGACCAGGCTGGCCTTGAACTCACAGAGATCCACCTGCCTCTGCCTCCCAGGTGCTGGAATTAAAGGTGCCACCACCACAGCCCGGCTTCAAGGTTACTCTTAATTGTTAACTTCATAGTGTAGCCTCTATTAGTTTTAGCACTTTCTGTTTTGTGGAAATTGGTGATATATTTGTGTATCTTGTGTGTTTTGGTGATGTTGTTGCTATAGTAGTTTGCTTCCCCAGAGTGGTAGTGGTGATTTACCTCTCAAGAGTGAGCTGTTCACTAAGATGTTCCAATAAAATCAGAAGAGTTATCCAAACCAGCCAGTGCACAAACCACAGCATGGAAACCCAAGAACCATGAGAAAGCAAGGTAGTGGGACTCCTCTAAAAGATCGAAACTCCCCAACCACTGAACTCAGAGATACTGAAGTGGGTCAAACGCTCTAAAAGATATGCAAGGAAAACTGACCAGTGATTTCGAGAGAGTTGAAGAGAATAGATGAACGAGTAATCAACTCAGGACCTGGAGAAGGCAGCAACACAGAGAAGAGTCAGCAAAATGAATGGAAAGTCAGCAATATGGGGCCAGCAAGAGGACCCAGTGGATTAAGGTACTGCTTGCACGCTGATCACATGTGTTTAAGCCTTGAGACCCACACAGTGGACCAAGATAACCAACTCCCATAAATTATCATCTGATCCCCAGGGACATACTGTGCCACATGTGTGCATACACATATACAAAAAAAAAAAGCAAATGTAATGTCTTAGTTGCTTTTATGTTGTGATCAAGGCAACTTATAAAACAAAGCATTTAATTTGGCTTAAGGTTTCAGGGGTTTAGAGTCCATGATGGCTGAGGGAAGGCATAGCTGAGAGCTCACGTCTTGATCCACAACCATGAGGAAGTGGGGGAGGGGAGGGGGGATGCTGCTGAGGGGGTGGCGGGGGGAGGAGGAGGAGAGATGGGAGGAAGACAGATACTGGGAACGGCAAAATCTTTGGAAACCTCGAAGCCTGCCCCTGGTGTCACACTAATGAGAGCATTTAACAAGCCACCTCTGATCATCTGAGTAGCTTTTCATTTTTCATAACAAAAGTATGCATTTATGAGGGTTATATTCAGGAGAGGCTGTGTGGGCATTGGGAGGAAGAAACGTCAGAGAAAAGCGATGATAGAAGACTGGACAGGTATTGTATAGGAAGAACTTGTGAGAAAACTGAAGGACTCAAAGATTCCATAGTCCAGTGGGTACACACATGCATATGTACACACATGGAACTCAGGTCAAGTGAAATATTACCTAGAAACCCCTTTCAATAATTAAAAAAAAAAAAAAAAAAACGTATCTTAGATGTAGCTTCATGGTAGAGCACTTGACTAGCATGTGTAAGTTCCTGGATTCCATCCCCAGCACTGTAAACCAAACAAAACACTGAACATTCACATGCCAGGCTCCACTTGTTTCAAGCATGACCTCACTGAGTACTTGCAACATGATTTGTTGTTGTTGTTGTTGTTGTTTTAAGTCAGGGTTTCTCTGTGTAGTTTTGGTGCCTGTCCTGGATCTTGCTCTGTAGACCAGGCTGGCCTCAAACTCACAGAAATCCACTTGGCTCTGCCTCCCGAGTGCTGGGATTAAAGCGTGCGCTACCACTGCCCAGCACAATGTGATTTTATAGCCCTCTTTTGTGGGT